AATACAAATATTTATTTACTTTCCAGTCAACAAAGGCCTAGGATGCTTGAGACTCTGCAGGAATAAAAGCCCAAATTGTTCTTATCCTGTAGAGCGCCACCTATATATTTGTGCAGATAATCAGAAAACTGGCCTTAATAGCTACTCCCAAGGCTCTCTATATTAGCAGTATCTATTTATTAGACAACATAAGGCTCCAAATTCTGTCTCTCTCTAAATTATGAGGGTCTGCAGGTGAGCTGAGGTGGTAGGTCTGAGTGGACGCAAGAAGAAACCTTGGATTTCAAAGATGATGCTGTCCTATGGCAGAAGCAAGGCCTTTTGATGTATTCCACTAAACGTATAATGACTTGAGGAGAAGGAAAAGAGTGAAAGAGAGTCTGGTGGAGCAGCACAGAGCCAGAGGAGGGAGGGCTGCTAGGAGGGTCAGGGAAATCGAGAGCAGGTCACAGATATACCGGGAAGGCTTCGCTTGTTCAGCTTAGGCAAAGAAAGGCTCAAAAGCGATATGATTGCTACCTGTAAACGCATGGGAACGAGAGGACGTAGAACTGGGAGAGGAAAGGAAAAGAGCTGCATAAGCTAAAAGACAGGGTCCCTACAAACCAAAATGGGACCAAAAGAGACCATAAACAAATTCAGGCTTAAAAAATAATAATAATAAAATAAAAAAAATCTATGGTAGAAATTTTGAGAAAAATAAAATAAAATTGATTTTATCACGGATCGTGGAGCTTGACAAGTCTACGAAGGACGACAGGATCCTTGTCCAGGCAGAGGACTGCAGAACTCCCCTAGTCCCACGTTACTTCTCTTCGAGAAGATAAGACTATTCTGCTGTCGGATTTGAGCATGCAACAGCAATTCCATTAGAAATTACACGTTTGACTTTTGAAAGGCTCAGCTCCAAACAAATTCCATGCACGGTGAAACTCCACATCTTGAGCCAACAGTCTCCACTTGATTTAGCTGTTCATAAATTCAACAAGATTAAATTATCCATTCGGGTGGTCTCAGGCTTTCTATTTCTGTATAACTAAAAACTAAATATATTTTAGGGAGGAAACTAAATCTCACATACCTACAATAGATCTGCGCTGCTCCATTATGCAATTTAAACCTTTCTAAGCAAGGATGTTCTGATCGAGAGAGATAACTGCAATATGCTCAGCAATTCAGGGAAAAGGCAAGAGGAATATTTATATGCTCCAAGAAATCTACATTTGCATGTACTAACATGCATATATGATAGTTTGGCAGCTGCATCGCCAGACAGGTAGCAAGAAAAGCATCCTCAGGAGAAAAATCGGCGCGTGTACGTGCCCAGTAGCGCCTCCAGTTGTCTCTCATCTGCAGGCGGTTCCAGAAGAGCACAGTAATTCTTACTTTCCACAAGCAGAAGAACCAAAAGACCTTTTGCTTCAGACTTTCTTCAAAATATTACACGGTTCTGAACTCTGGACCCACAGTATCAGGTTTTGAAATTAAAAAAAAAAAAAAGTGTTAATTTCCCAAAGGCTTGATTTTACCGGTATTTTGCAAAGAAAGGGGGAAAAATATTGTAAAATCCTGTAGGAGCAGCCATCATTAAGTAGTCCTGCACAGTAATTAAACAGAGTGATCTGTTTTACTACAAGAGGAAAGCATAGAGAATGATAATGCACAGAGCATCCAACAAACTAGCACAAATAATAAATAAAAGCTTTAATCTTTGTTCAGCTTCCTAGTTATTCAGACCCACTTTGGAGGCCATGTAGAAATACCACTGCTTCTCTCCGCACAGTAATTCTTACTCCAGATCGGCAGCTATATGTTTGCTCCTTGCTTGCAACAGCAGCCTGTAAACGCTAAGTGAAATTTAGTTTGCGACCTGTACTGGAGAAATTAAAACACAAGGCAGGCTGACTAGGCTGAAGACAATCTGTGAAGTTACACAAGCTGTCTATCCTATTTAGCCTTTTCTGAAATATTTTCTGACCTATCGACCTTGCCATTAGAATTCAGACTCTTCTGCATAGCTTTGAATTTGAAATGCTGTACAGCCTGACCAGCTATAAATGCTTGTTTGTTCCTCTTTCTACTTATATAACAGTCTAGATATAGATGTATATTATGCACATTTGTAGTAGATTGGAACTACATGCACACATATATATACACACACACACACACACACTCAACCCTTACTGTAACTTTTTCTGTAAGACATGATTTGGCAAATGCAAGCGAAGTTTAAGGCACAGAGAAAAAGCACTTTGGTTGTCTGAAGGCTTTAGCTTTCCCAGTACAGAGAGCTTAATGTAAGCATAAATCGGACAGCTGCTACAGAACGAAAAAAAATGTTCAAACTACCTATATATAATAAATAGGACACGTTACAGTTCTAACTCTCACTGTGCGATCTAAACAATATTTTCTTTGGAAAATAGCTTCGACCTGGGTGTAAGTCTCATTTTCATACTTTACTGCAGGTATGTGATTTTTAGACAAAATTCTACATGATTATGTACAGGATGTTTTGCAACTGTCCCAACTGAGACAATTTTGTCTTGGTTGCCATCATTAATTAAACTACCCAATTATTCAGTAGAACAGCTATTAAGGTTTAGGTTATGCATAGTGAATTTAAGAGTCCCCATTTTGGATCTGATTTCTTTGCTTTCTGAAGCTTTTTGTGAGGAGCAGGTTGGTTAGGAGAAGCCAAAGCCAAAGCCAATCAGTTGGCGTATCTGCTCTCAAAACAGACAGCCTGCGAGATAATAAACAAAATGTGGGCAAAACAGATGGCTCAGAACAGCAAAACATCTAGCCTGCTGTCCATCACGTACAGGCACTGTCAGCATGCCATAACAGAGAGGCAGCTTCCACAAAGAAAACAAATTCTCTTCATGGAAGTAGATTTGCCGCCAAATGACAAAATCACTTGTACGTTGTAGGAGAGATTTACATAGAAACACCTAATTGCAAGGTTGCTCAAGCTCCAAATTCATTTGCTGATGCAAAACACGTGTAGAAAAGAGTGAAGAAGGCATGAGAATATCGGCAAACTTAACGCCTGAGCAGACACAAAACATATTATTGTAATAAGTGATAGGGTGAACTTCTAAAATACACTTCTGTGGGCTGAAAGAAAGAAAAAAAAATAGCCACCAGCTACTGAAATTTACACCTTCATCCTCCACTGTAGCAGTCAAATCTGATTCTGTGCAAAACCTACGAATTTACTGCGCTGCACAAAAGCAAAGTCACTAGTTTATTTGCTGTTCCTTGCAAATGATGGTAACATCTGATGGGATTCCCATCAACCACGCCAGCACGACTCGTACCCTGCAAACGGTTCCTATCAGCACTAGTCAAGATAATCTGCAGCCCACAAGCCATCCCCACATCTCCATCCTAGGTCCGCTGCTATCCAATGTTTATATGGCAGCTTTTTCAAAAAACAAGTGTCCAGAAGCTGGTCTCCTCGTTCCATTCATCAGCGACTGCACAATATCCCTGGCGTCACCTTCTTCAAGCAGAGGCTGTATTGTACATCATCACTCTGACACCACGTTTTCTAAATTTAGGCTGCATAGCAAATACGGCAAAGAAGGACCACAAGAGCTTATACTAATGCTACGACTAACAGACATTGTGCTTCCCTCTGATTCTTTTATCAAGAAATATTTTCAAGGTAAGGAATATTTCTCTATTTGATTTATAATTTTAGATGTTTTGGGTCACAGACTGCAAGCTACTCTACAACACGCAGGTTCTAACACTGAGGCATTTTGATGGAGCAAGTTTTATTTGGTTCCATCTTGAGCGATCCATAACTCTAGAGCGATTCTAACTTTTAAGTCCTGATAAAGACGTGAATTTTTTTAGCTATTTGATTTTTTCCATTTTTACTTTGCATTCTGCTGTTATATCCAGACCCTCTGAACTCAGTTAAATTCAATACCGATCCCAAACCAGCTCAACCCTTTTAGAAACTCAAAGTATTAACCCATGAGCCTTCAGATAGAAGACCCTATGCAGCTAAAAAAAAAAATCATAATACTTCCATTCTTAAAACATTATATCGTTAGAAAAAGAGCATACCATACCCCCATTGCAGAACATGCAGTTAAATGAAAAAAATTAATAAAAAAAAGACACCAACAACCCTCAGTTTACACATAACTGAAATCTAAAACCTTTGAAATAGCTCCCGCTATTTGCTGGCTGAAAGAGCAATACTCTAGTTAGAAACAGAGGTTTGATGGAACTGGAACACTTTGTAGGTGTGGGTCAAGGCCATCAAAGTTTCTGACAAACTAGACATTCCCGAGCAGTGATTCGCACATCTGAGTAATTCTAGCAGAACACAACAGAACTAAAGTAAAGAAAATAAGAGGAGTGACCCCGGCCTGTGCTTCTAATAAATTCATTTATCCTTTCCGTAGGTTCCTCCCACTGAAGGATTTTTATAAGCACCAGTTATCAAACACGTTTGACTCCGCTTGTTTAATGATAAACACTTGGGGGATCAGACTTTGAAGCGACCTAACAATAAGATGAAACATTTTCTTCCTGTCTCAGCCTCCCATTTACCTTGTCGACGTGGGGGTGCCAGTATTCGTCGTGCGTAGTTTTGGCTTCCGTGTTATTTATCCTCGAGAAGAACGTCGGCTTCGTCAGGTACAGGGAAGAGGGGTTGATACCAAACGCCTGAGCAATTCTCTGTTGAATTCGGTGCCTCACATCACTGCAAAGAAAACGCAGCAGGCTAAGCGTCGAAACACAACTTCAACAGCAACCTCCCTCTGCTACTTCTTCTGTAAGTCTCCATCATTCACTGTTACCGCTTCTCCAGAACTAAGCTTCTTCCTCAGATTATAAATCGTAGGGAGCATATATCCATTTTCCCCCTCTTATTTTGCATTAAATCACTGTGAGATCTCCTACATAAATATATGTGTGTGTGTGTGTGTGTGTGTCTCTGTGTGTGTGTGTGTGTATGTATATATATATATATGTATATGTTTTTTAATTCTCAGAATCTTAAGGAAAAGAAACCATTTATTTCCTGTGGCCTAGGTTTTAAAATTTGTGTACACAATCTGTTTTTTCTGAAAAATTCCATGCACATCTCAGTGTTTATTAATTACAGAAAAGTTAGAGAGAATTTTTTTCCACATATTTTTCCATCTTGTTTCTAAAAGCTACATGTCATGTGCAGGCTGTTTCATAAAATGCCAGCATGCGTAGCTGAGTGTTGACATACAAGAGAAAAAACTTCTTGACTGTGAGGGTGACAGAGCATTGGAACAGGTTGCCCAGAGAGGTGGTGGAGTCTCCTTCGCTGGAGATACTCAAAACCCGTCTGGATGTGATCCTGGGCAATATGCTCTAGGTGACCCTGCTTGAGCAGGGAGGTTGGACTAGACGATCTCCAGAGGTCCCTTCCAACCTCAACGATTCTGTGATTCTGTGATATACAATTTCAATCCACAGTAGGTGATTAGAAAGTGGCATCTTCTTAAAGGGATGCCCCCCCGACAAGAGCCACCTTCAACTATTTTAAAACTAACCAGTGAAATTTCAGGCACCAAGAAATTCAGGGTTCTAGGTCAACATATGTATTGATATCACCACCAGATTCTTCCTAAAAAAGAAGAGTGTAAGATGTCTCTCGCAACTACTTTGAAAATTTCAACCAAAATATCTCTACCTTGACTATTCCTGTACTTCTTGGGAAAAAGAACACAAATGTTTTTAAGATTATAAAAACAGAAGGAAGACAGTACTCATCCCGCATGCTTTACTATACAGTACTGCTTATATAGGAGCATCCTATGTTTTCCTTTGCGACAAAGATAACGACATATAGAGCTAGAACAGGGCTGTCCAGAACTCCCAGCATCAGTTCAAGCAATGATCTTAAGGAAACTTATGACAATGAGGAATATCATTGGTAAATCCCACCAGCAAACACCTACAGCCAGCATTTAACCTTGAGGAAGTTTAAAAAAAAAAAAGAAGAAGAAAAAAAAGCAAAGAACGTAATAACACAGTGAGATTAAATGAAAATATTCTTTTCTTTTAAAATGTAATTCCTTGTGCTTCATAAAAAAACTTTATATTGCTTTCTCCCAGTTTTAACACATTCTTGGCTATTGTGTTAGTCTTTCTATCCTTCCTTCCCAAGCGCTTCAGAAGCAGCGCGTTAAAAAAAGATAACTGGAGTGAACATACTTGTGAAGTTTCTCATGGAATTACACTAATATTTCTGCATCTTTTATGCATTAGACATTTCTCCACTAGGATATACTGAACTTTCAAGAAACTGTTTCCCAGGTATTCCTCTAGAGAATTTAAACAGTGACTAACAGGAAGCAAAAGAACTGAAAACCAGGTCTACAGTGCCAGACTGTGAAAGGCACCTCTTACAGACTATTTCCATAAGTACTAAAAAATCCTCACTACTCATTCTGCTCACATCTTGCCTCCCACCAAAAAAAAAAAAAATCAATAAATTGAAAAACAGATGTACAGATCTGACTTTTAACCCATTTTATTTTAAGTTATTAGGAGACACACATTCAGGCTATTTTATATGCGAAACAAAAACCTTTAAATGAAGTTAGAGCTGAGATTTGCAGGTATTTACATGGCTGAACGAACTGAGGTTTCAAGTTGAGAGCTATATAATCAAAGAGTTTGCAAGACTGACATCAGAAAGGACCAACAGGTCATCACTCCTTCCTCTCGTTTCTCTAGGAAGCGGGTCTTTCTGTTCCTCTCTTTTTTTCCAAGAAGTAGGACTTCAGCAGAGGCTGCCTGACATATCCCCAAAAGCGTTAAATGTGACTACTCATTTCCCTTTACCATGAATTGCATTCAAAGTGCAGCTGGCTCTATGAACAATCCAACACAATAATTAATAGCCTAACCCACAAATAATAAAGTATAACCCCTGGCTCTGACGCAGGGCAGCCAGTTGCGGCTGGGATATATCTACTTTGAAGCAGTTAGGCCACAGTCTTGACATAACTTTACATCTCCAGTAGTTACGTTGCTCTCCAAGAAACATTGCTTCCTCTTTTAGGCTGATTCCTTTTCCACTTTTAAAATCTTTCTGTTAAGATCCGCTCTACAGTCTTTAAAAGGCCCTGTTAAAGCTTCACTCCTCTTTGAGACACGTGTGCAAGGGCTTGAAGCAGGACTGCTTCTTGGTTTGCGAAACATGCAAACAAAGCTCTACTCTACTCTTCCTGATATCTCAACACGAGAACCAAAAATCCAGTCGGTTTGGGCCAGCCAATGGGTTAGCAAAAGAAAAGGAACAATTCAAAAGTTTAAGTATGCTGCAAAGAGAAAATAAGCACATTCTTCAAAGGATAATTTATAAACAGGAAGGACCAAGGCAAGGGAAGTAGCGAGTGGGGAAACAGAGCAACAGAGCAGCTGAGGTGGTAAGTCTAACGGCATGAATTTAGGTCCTACCCTGCTCTCATAGAAGCATCTGCCTTCAGCGGATCCACATATGACCAGATGGCTGGTCTTCCGGGTGCTGGAGCCTACTGCTGGCTTTTTATTTCCCTTTGTGCTTCAAACACCGTTACTCTTTAATCACACCAGCTTCTCCACACACACCAGGTGCCAACACGGCCTTTCCTCAGTTGACGTGTGTCTACTCCTGCCTGCTTCCGCGGGGCTGAGCGGAGGTCAGCTAAGGCAGCGTGGCGTCGCTATTTCTGCCTCTCGCGAGCTGTCATCCTGCATACCACAGCATCACTCTCAAAAACTTAACGAAAACAATCAGTGACGATTAAGCAGATTAGCAAGAACTCTACGCACACTGGACTTTTGCTGTTCAACAAAGGGAACAATAAACTAAAAGAGCCTGACTAAAAGTAATGGATCTTGGACTAGGCTCCAAAAACCATGTACTTACCCTTTGCACTTACAGTTGCACTTGCACACAATACAGACACGCATGTAATTTAGCATGTCCAGGCAGTAAGTTTACAGCAACAGCCTTCCTCCAAAAAAAAAAAAAAAAAAAAGGGAGCCAATGCATAAAGGATACCGACTATTCACATCGGAGCTCAACAAGCAAAAGGGTTAACTTGCCTATAATAAAAAAAAGTTGAAAAATAAGGAAGCAAAAGTAACATTGCCTGATGTGTGGGCTGTAAAATTATTTTAAAAAGTCCCTTAGTAGGAGAGGACACTTAATCTTCCACTTTGCCTTCACTGTCCTCTTAGACATATTCGTGAGAATGGGGGAACAGTCAAGTTATTTTTTCAGGGCCTAATCCAACACATGCCAAAGTCAGTGGGAACGCATTTATTAGTTTCAAGGAACTCCAGATCAAGCATTTGAAACACAAGCAAAATAACCCGACCTCATGTCATGTACTGGCCTTTGGAAACGAGACCCCTTCCTGCAAGCGCATGAGAAAGGCCCTTTACAGGATGAGCTTTCTGAAGAGAAATGGTGGGGACAGAAAGCAGTATTCAAGATTGGACTTGACCAGAAAAATACATGTAATACATCCACACTGCTTTAAAGTGGATATTCTCAAAGCTCAGGGTTAAAGTTGAGAGGTACTATAGGAACCTGACTAACAGATGATGAAGCAAACAATGTTAGGCTATCTCAGCCTCCCTATTTCTTCATATCCTACTGATGCACTTCTAAAATTTTAAGCATGACACTTTATGTATTAGGATAATATTTCATCTGATAAACCTCCAACAAATGCCAAAGAACTTGTATTTAATATGAACTACTAAATTAGAAAAACTGTGCATACGAACATGCACAACAACAGACTTTGGTAATTCAGTGAAATAAATAAATTCAGCTATAGAGCAGTAACAGGAAAAACTAAAAAGGGTATAGTGTATCAGTCTTGAACAAACTGCAGATTTATACATGTTACTTTAATGAACAGCCCATATGGCAAAGATTTGCTGGAAACAAGCTCCAAAGAGCAATCCCTCTAAATGGTCTAAATGGTTATTTTTCCCCAGTATGTACCAAACTGTTTGAAAGCTACAGAAACTATGAAATTCCTAGTTGAGTCAGCTCTTAAAAACTATTTTTATACATAGGTGGTGTTTAATACATACTTCCTATTAAAGTGGGATCAGTCAAACATGCAGACGTGATAAGCTAGAGAAGAAAATTGAAAACATACCAAGGGAAGGCTATGTTTCTCAGTGCAGGTCAACAACAACAAGGACTTCCGACTTGGTCACGTGTATTTTCAATTGCAGCCACTTAACATGTTAAAAAAAGCAGGCCACATGAGTTATGAAAGAACTTAATGTTTTAGGGGATAAGGACAAGGGGCGACATTTAAGCTGCAGAATATCAACGTTACTAGAAAATATTCCATTGCGCTACTGTAATTAGCGACAAGGAGATCTTAGGTTGTATTTGATGTAAAAAAACAAACAAACAAACAAAAAAAGCATTAAAATATCCATTTACAAGTCTGGCGCCGAAGACCAAGCTAAGCGCGCGCTGCAGGAGGTATGCCCTGCAGGGTGCTGTAGGACAGCCTGCTGCCCTTTGTTTCTCACGCTCACGTTCACCCCATTCCAGGGGCTGATAAACTTCTCAAGGCAAACATCAACTCTGCTTCACACTCCGTAAGGCAAGCGTCTCGTGTCCCTCCTAAACGTTACACACAGGAATCGAGCATTTACCTAGACGCGGGAGCAGACACGTCTTCTTGGAGAGGTCAGAGTGTTTCTTCGAATCCTACCAAGCATGTTTCAAAAAACAGGCATTTACGTACTTCAACTCACTCTGTGCACAGTTGAAGCCAAACCCAGCAAGTAACTTCTTTCAGAGACAGTATAAGGTCACCTCTTCTTAGCCTACAATCTCTTCTGGACAGCCTGCTCTCCACCGACCTGGCCCTTCCGACATTTATCAGTTTTAAACGCCTAATTTTTTCCTTCTGTTCCCTTCCTTGCTATTCCAGATGTAGCCTATATATTCTAGGGGAGAAGATCACCATTGTATGTCTCATATAACTCATGTGGCAAGCTGATTATCCAGATTTCAGCCTAGAAAATGTTGTCAAGTAGGTAATGAATGAGCCCAAGACTTCTGGCTACCTTGGACCTGGGACAGTAAGAGCTACAACATCCCCTCAGGCACTTTTCACATACGTCCATGAGAAGCAGGAGCCTCAGGCAGGACCCATCCTCCATTCTTGGCCACTCATCCTTTATACTTTTTCCTCCCTGTCTCTCATATTTCAAAAACTCTTGGGAGACCTCCGTTGTTGCAAAGAAAACACTTCTTTACGCTGGAGAACGTTAAGTGTTCGTTTTCATGAACACCGCGACTGTTTCATCGTTCCAGCTGCTCTGGGTGAATCCCTGTTCCGAGCAGATGCACTAAGCAGAGCTCCGCTATTGCAATAAATAAATGAGCAAAAAATCCAGTCAACGGTATACGGAAAAACTGAACGCCACCCAGAATTTCTCAGCAGCAATCCTTGCACGTTCTCAGGAAAGCACCAGGGGACACCAGAACGCACGGGACAGACTTGAGGAAAAGCAGAGCAGAACTCATCGAAAAGAACATTTGACCACCTTCTGCAGAAGCAGTTACTCAAACCTGTTTCGCAATCAAAATTATGAGAAAGAACAAAGGAAAATAAGAAAACCCAATAAAGCAGTTCGAAGTTTAAGGAACATCAAACTACAAAGAGAGCATGTTCACTGGACAATGAAGCTTCCAGCTTCATGTACTGGCAGCAGCATAAAGAAGGACTAAGAAAAAGAACTAAAAATGTCACATAAAAGTCTCTGTAGGATACGAGCGCTCTTAGAGCAGCAAAAAATGCACTGTTAAGAGTTGCTGCGCAAAGCGGGGTTTCAAGCCTGGTGACAGAAATGCTCACAAAGCTCCAGGAAACTACACAATTTCCAGCCCGCTTGCCAATGTCTCCGCGCTGTTCCCGGTGAAAAGCAGCAAAAGCAGCACAAGCAGACAAAGCAACGCTCTTCTACAACCGGAGAGTTTTAACATAAATCACACACGCAGAAAGAGGAGGGAGAAAAGCAAATCCCATCCGCTCTCCCGCTACTCTTTCGGCACTCGTGCCTCAACGAGCCATCATTTTTTGATGAAGTCACAACCTTTAAACCGAGCATCTGGATTTAAAGGCCTCTCTTCTAGATAAATTTGTATCTATTATGTGAAACAAGAGGAATTGCTGTAATATGCTTGGCAGCTTCTAGGCTGATGCTTTTTCTGAAGCAACATAATTTTGACACAGACGGTTTAGAAATCAGCCTCCTGGCTCAGGGTGTCTACTCAGATTTGTTATTGTTGTAATCAGTAACGCTCAGACACGAATTATATTCGGTTATTTCTCTCAAGGGTGTATTTTTAAACAGACCTTGGTAGGTAAATGGAAGTAATGAAAATAAACGTTCCCAAGAATAGCACAAAACCATTCATTACAGACATAAGCTTCTACAGCTTGTGCTCAAGCACTGCCACTAATATGAACAAAAGCATTTTATAATATACATTGTATGAGATCTGTATTGTTCAACGCTTACATAATTTGTATAAACTTCCATTCACATGAAACACAAAAACTCTTTTAACAAGACATACACACACCCCCCGGCACTCACATGAATTCTACAGGTTCACTGATCATGTAGGGAACAGAAGGCCAAAAACTACTACCTTCCAATTACCCTCCACGATCATAGCGAAGCAGAGACGAATTTTTCTGCATTCATGCAACATTCATTACTGCTCAAGAAAGCATCCCATTTTTGTGATGTGTTTGGGCCCAGAGGTAAGCACATTTAAAAGAGAAACTCATCTATAAGATACCAGTATCTAAAAATGGTTAAGTCAAATAATTTTACCCTTTAAACGGTTAATACTTAAAACAAAACTACCATAGTAATAAAACTAACAAGATACATAGGCTCCACTCGCACCACTTTTGAGGAACCTATTTGGCTGCTTAATACTACTTCAGCCACTAGAGGGAGCTCAGATTCCTTCACAAAGGCAAGAAAAACTATAGAAAGAATTAGAAAACATTAAATCTGGACTTTAAAGTGCTCAAGCCAGGTACATTTTATATTACAAAAAGCAATTCAAATGCATAACTAAAGATTTATTGTGTCCAGTCAACACAGAACGCTTGTTCCTAAATGTCTGCCACACACCTTCACAGACACATGTAACGAAGACGACAAAGTTAACGAGCTCCAAGTATGAGCAGGTCTACAGGAAAGCTAGAACAACGAGATGCCAAAGGTATTACCTTAGAGTTGCATTTCATATTCTGGCTTCTGAGGGACAGAAACATGCTCTGCTTTTCTACCTAGAGCATCAAGAATGTGAAGTCCTTCCTCTTCCTGCTTTACCACTGATAACGTGCTGCCACACTTCACGCCGCAAGACTCAAGTTCCTAAAGGGGTAACGGCACGTGACTGCCTTTTTCATTTAATGCACCATCTCTTGGAAAACAGGTGTGAAACAGGAGTTGATGTATTTTACATCCCTCAACCTTGCATTTACAGCTAACGTGTTCTGGCGAGTAACCACCGAACTCAGAGGGAGCAGCTCTCCTCGCTCGCAGGTCTGCAGGACTGGCGGCCCCTAGAATTGGGCATACCTCAAATCACTGATTACTGAAAGGTTGGCCCAGTAGAGATGTGAAGTCTTACAGCAATGACACTTTACCCAAAATGGTAGAAAACAGCAGATGTTTAAGTACAGGTGTCAGTTCAGCTCAACATTAGTTGCATCTTTTTGTTGCTGCTCCCTTTACCAATAAAGCCAAAAATGCAATGTTCACAGGCCTCGTGGCAGCCCAGCATTACAGAGGCAGTCTGCAGTGATAAGTCATACAAATTAGCATTTCTCACCACCGACCTCTTTAAAGGTGGTGAAATGTGTGGAGCCGCCATGGTTCTGATTACATCTACATCACCTCTGTTATCCTGACATCCGTGATGCAGCTCAATAACATCTCCTTGCTTTGAACTTATCAGGTAGTTACCAAAAGGTCCTTTTGCTCATTTCCCTCAATGCCTGCTTAATTCTCAGAGATGACTATTTTGAGCTGCAAATAAGATTGTACATCCAAATCCATCACAAAGGGCAATCCCCTCCCAACCTGCACTCTACAAAAAGCCAAATTATGTTTTGTCATTTGTTCAGCAGTTCTTGAAATTCTTTACCGATATAATGCAAAATCCTCTTCTGTGAAGATGTCTTGAATTTTGTCCCCAAAGTACCTGAAAAATTAAACAAGACTTTAAAAGAGGAGTTACTGAATCAGACCGCCTGGGTAATACCAAGCTGCATTCTCACCCCCATCTGCTTTACTCACAATGAATACATTAAAACATCCTACAGATAATGATTTTTAGCGAGTGTTGTGTTCCCAAAGCATTGCTCAAAGATTAAATGTTAAAAGGCTAAAGGATCAAGACACAGCAACTGCTGCTAATGGAATTTGCCAGGCATGAAAAATCTCCTCTCCCGCTTCATGAAATAAGCTTACGGATTCAAATGCTTAAAACAAGTTCACAGACTGCTTAACTTCTTCCACTACAGATAAACTATAGGTCGTAACTGTGGAAAAAAAATATTATTTTCGGGTGCATGAAGAATTCTAGGGGGCCAAAAAAGTTATTAGTAGCTTTCAAAGAGCCCAGTTCAAAAAAAGGTAATGTCAGTTTTCACATCCCAGAAGCTTTTTAACCAGTCATGGAAACTGTGGTGAATCTAACTCCTGCAGTATGATGCTGTTAACCTCTGTCTACATGGCCTTGAGAAACTGGAGAAGGTACTGAACACTGAAGCTGTCGGTAACGAGGGGGGCAACCGGGCACAAACCCGTTTTACCTGTAGAGATTGACAAAATGCTTCCCCAGTGAAAGAGCTCCAGAGTGTAAATCCAAAATTGAAGCCTGAGAAAGAAGATAAAAATAAAAAATTAAAAATTACAAAAATGAAAAAGAAAAAGGAGCATATAAAAAGGTTTTATTATTATTTAATTATGACTTTTAATAACTATCCCAAGTTGGGTCCCATTTCTCTTGCTCTCTCAAATTTAATTATTAGGTTTTAACATTTAGGTTTGCAATACTAACGCTTATTTTGCCTTACTACTGCAAGCCCCCCCTCGATTTGCGTGCGCGCGCGTGCTCTCTCTCTCTCTATGTATGTATATGGACAAAAGATTAAAATACTGTGGATAAGGCACAGGCCTGCTACTCCTGAGATTCAGATCTGACATGCAGAGTTACCAGTCTTCCTCCACGGGCTAAGGGTAAGATACTGAGTCCCTGGATCCCTTCTTTCCCTTCCACGCAAAGATGACTAGTTTTCCAGCAGTTGTCAAGAGCTTGGATAGCAGCACTAATACTTATTTCGCCCACTATTTGTTACTAAAACTACCTCTCCTTCACAGGTCCTGTGCACTTCTCATATTCAATAAATACAGACGTTTTCGCCTGTTTAAAAGCACAATTACAACCCTAAGGCTTGCTAGAGCCAAACGGTGCTTTTTTTTTTTTTTTTTTTTACATTTCTGGCTGCTGTAAAAGAACAGAGTGAAGTCTTCTCATAGGAAAATTAAATCTATTTCTCCATCTGATTCAAGCCAAACGCTTCTCTTCACCTCCAGACCAAAATCAATATTCAGATTTGCTAGGGCAGAGAGATGTCTCTCAGGGCTTTAAAATATTTCTCTAAACTGAATCAAGTACACTTTTGTATTTTGTGGACAGCAAGGGACATGCATGTTTATTTTGCATCAGTTAAACGGTATTTAAAAATCTGTTTTGCTTAACAGAGGTCTTATCTTCTATATGGAAAGCAGCAAGTAGCACAAGTCGATTAGTCATTATAATTTTGGTTCCAGTGAGACATCTTTGACGTACGATACCCTGCAAAAAGCCCTCTCATCCCAAAATCCGGCATTTCTTGACAGAGCACACACCGGTCGCGTTATTCTAACAAACTCCAAACGCCGCCGCCGCCAGCTGAGCCGCCTGCCAAGAATGCCAAAATCCACCACGTGCTGGACCCCGCTTGGGAAGGACATCCGTGACGACCTCGCGGCAAAAGGAAACTGCTGCAGTTTCCATCGCCTTGAGCTTCAGCGCTGGAACAGAGGAACCTCGCCGAAGTCCCCATTTAAAAGTAGGGGGACAATAACAACCTTATCCAAATAATTTTGTTTAGCCCTGAACCTTTTAAAAACGTATGAAGTAATGAGCTATTTAAATGGACATCGCACGAGCTTTTCCAACCTCCCCTTCTCACAGGGCTTCTCCAAAAGCTGCAGAGGAACGTTAGGGAAACAAGTCATCTCACACTCATCCAAGAGCAGCTCTCGGGACAAGCTTTACTCAAGCGTCAGTAAAATATTCTCATTTCATCGACCTCTGGGTCTGTGCAATAATCTAAGCTGCAGATGAAACAAGTAAAACTGCTCCCTCATAGCTGCAAAAATATGCTTGTGATCGGGGCAAGGTGGAAACAACTCAGTGCCAGAGGCAGACAGGGACTCGATTACACCTGAGCACGAGCTCCTATTCGCTTAGTGGCCACCTTGGAAAGAAACTGAAACGCGTTTATGTTAGCCTCTGGCATTTCAGAGCATTAAACACTTCCAGCACCGTTTCCTACGCTCCGAAGGATACCTTGGGGGAGGCCTGTGTCAGCACTGTTACTTCAACTGCAGCGTCCGACCAAAGTTCACCAGTCCGCAGTCCGGGAAGCGTTCCCAGGCGCAAAGCTCTACAAAGCTCATCTAAAGACGGCAGGAACACTGCAAACGCATACACCCACACACCTTTTTCTGAGAAACTATTTAACAGAACTACCCCACTATCCTGGTTTAAACTGCCTTTAAAAGAAAAAAGCACAAACGCACGTGCTTTCGGACCCCGAGTATCGTTTGTCCCACACTCTCCACCCTCCCACCGGCGAAAGGATTCGAAAAGGACATGCAAGTAACCAGCGCTTCCCAGTATATGGCAAAAAGCGTCACTTCTCCCATCTTACAAAGCGCAATAGGTCCTTGCTATGATCCTCGCCAGGAGGGACTGCCAACCGTTAACTACATATCCACTGCTACAGCAATTCTACCTCGTTCCTCCGCCCCTTAAAAAGTTTACTTAAGGTCCTGAAAGAAAACAGCAGACACAAGCTGCCCAGAAGAGAAAACGCAAAACTCATTCCCACTTTTCTACAGGGAAGCTGCTAGAGCTCAAAACCTTCCCCTCCCTCCAGCTCCTACACTCCCATGCTCGGGCTGAGAAAAGTGAAGAGCAGCAGAGCTTCGACATTACCACCCCTTCCTAGGCAACATCACGCTTATCGGTCACACACTGAGGTTCTCAAAACAGCACCACCTTTAAATGTCTTTCTCTAGTTGAATCTGCAGAGTAGAAGGACAACAGTTAATGTTCTTCTTGAGGTCATGCCTCTTTTAAAAGTTGCACCGATTAGTTATGAGACACAAATGTAACTAATCTAATTTACACATCATTCTGCTTTCAGGAGGTGCAGGTAATTACTGTGGAAACTAACTGCAATAGTTGGCTATGGTGTCTGCTACAAGCTTACACTGGACGTAGATTAGACATAACCAGTTCCTCTCCGGTTTCCTAGGATAAGTCTAATCACACCAACACACGCTTCTAAGAGGACAGAGTAAAGTGAAAGATGCACTGCCAGGTAGGAAGTGGCAGCTACCTATAAATGATATCAGGAGGCTACACATGAAGGATGGAAACTACGTGGTCTGTAGTGGAGGTATACGATAGGACAAATACTATGCAGAGGCCCTATCCTCGTCATGGAAAATACAGAACTGATAGCATCTGGGGGCTTCAGGGTCTGGTTGGGAGGGCTGAAGGCAGAGCAGGGAGCGATACTGCCTGCAGAAATATTGTTCTACACATGAGCTTGTGTCCATCCTTGTTTGGGATAATGCTGTTTGCTTCTTTCAGCAACCAAGAAATTTAATTTCCTCTGCAAAAGGGAGGTCCGGGTAGCCACTCCTAGCCATTTCGCCGCAAGGCAGGAAACAAAGAAGAGCTAACTGGCTGCACCAACAGGTTTCTTTTCTGGTATTTCTAAGCAGGTCTGATAACAAGTCAAGTTTCATTCACAGTAGAGAGAAGCCATGATGACAGCACCTATCACGACGTGAACGACTGAGTCACGACTGAAGGGGTAACGCGAGCAGGGGCAGCACGCAAAAAAACCTTCGGTAGGTAAGAAAGGGGAAGGTCGTTATCTTTATAAAGAAGAAAAACAGGCAGAGACAAACAGCCTCAGAATAACTAAGGCAAACGGCATTCTGTGAACGAGAGAAAGAACAGAGAGCCAAGCTTTTTTACAGCTGCAGACTGCAGGGACCTACAAGGGAAAGAAATGCACTTGCGGGCAAGAGGCCCTTGCTTGGATTCTCTTGGAAGTCAGACTAGAAGATCGCAACGGCCTCTTCTAGCCTCAGTGCATATATGCATGACCCTAGGAACAATCAGAAAGGAAGACAGGAAAGAAAGCTCAGCAGGATGACTGGAGCATGACTCCTGGGACATTTCAATAATTCAGATGCTTGCTCAAATTAGGAGCGGCGAAGGGGTCAAATTGGCTACAAAAGAATTAAAAGAAATTAAAGAACAGAAACAAGGAATTGTTTAAGCAAATCTTCAGGAAAAAAAAATAGTCTCATAACAACAGGCACAAGTGGGTAGAATTATCCAAACGCAAATCCAAAGGCCTGAGAAATTTAAAACAATAGACCACATCCAATCCAATACGCTCGAAGCTTGGAGGTGTATGGGCAAAGTAGCTAGATGAAGTAAGACTTGAAACATTTTGTACGCTATCCAGATGATAGATTTAAAGAGAGGATGATGACTCAAATAAAGACAGTTTCATCTACACATCACCAGCACACATGCATCAATATTTGACAAGGTCTGGGAGCCAAGACAGCAATATCAGGAGTTGATTCACTCCATGACACGGAGAATACACAAGCATACACATCAGAGAAAAAAGAGAAAAAGGCAGAATGGGGAGGAAAAAAAAGAAAACAATAAAGAGACTATGTCCAAAGGCTTCTCCTAAACATGAGCCCCAGCAAACACTGTTCAGCTCTTGTTTTAGCATCTTGTTTTAGCATGTTTAGTGCTTATCCACTATTTTGAATAAAGCCTCAATGCAGCACCACACAACTGTCTTCTTGCACCTTTCCCCATGGAGTAACAGCATACAGTAACTTTCTCATGTTTGCACAGTATGAGAAACATGAGAAGACTTGGATCAGAGCACAAGACCTCTCTAAGGACATCAGATTTCTTTACAGAAATGTTATTGCAACAATACAATCTTCTTTTCCTCAGCTTCTCTCTCCTTTAAAAATCCACACAGTGATATTTCCAAGATGATTTAGATGATGGATTTATATTTGTTCGACAGCCTGGCTTGCTGTCCAGGCAACCCAGCTGGGGAGCCCTGCCCAGCTCTGTGCACTGGGCAGCGGTTCACCTCCCTCATCACTCCTCCAAGCTTTCCCTGCCTCTGTTTCCCCAATTCTCTGACCCTCAGCTGGACACTACCTTTCAACCCTCTGTGGTCCAAATCCATAAAACAGTGTCTGTGCTATATACTGCCCTTTCAAATCTCTCTTTGTGGAAGTCTAATGAAAATCACACGTAGGTCCCAAGAGAACGGGAAGATAGAAAACCACCTTGGCAGTACTCTTGGCAGGAGCAGATCTAAAGAGGTCGAGTAATCTAGTCAAAATGGCAACTTTTTCAACCACAAAACTGAAAAAAATCCACAGGATGCTGACAGAGTTGAATAGAGAACGTTAAATGTTTTAAAGATATCGTTTCAGATTGGCAACACTGCCTAAGTTTCTCGGTTTACATTTTTCACACACTTTTCTCAGCAATCCTAAGTATGATAACATCTTTCTTTTCAGCGAAACCTCTTTCTCCTCTTCTTCTAATATATGCCCTAATTCAGCAGAGGCCTGAAGCGGTGCTTATATTTACAAATACTCCAGAAACATAAATCCTGAGAGCAAAGACAGGGGGAAGAGAAATTAAAGGAAACACCCTTGATAAAGGAGAAATGGCTTTGTTTCCATTTTTAATGAATGCTATTCAAAGCTCTCCTTGAGACATTACATGATACTCCTTGGCACTGCACACAACCGATCTTTAAGTGACAGTTGTGGACCACTGTGATTTAGCTTCTCAAAAAACAGCAATCAAACTTGTGCAGTTCTGCTGTAGTAACCGATTTCAGATGCAGAAGACAAAACCAAGCACCATATCAGACAGTTCAATAGAGACACTGGAAATGCTAACTTCACTGAATAACATGGAATGTGTCAACTGTATTGCAAATGTCATTATTTTTACTGTTAGCAGTGGCAATTGAGGGGGGAAAAACAACTTCCAGCTGAAATTTTCCCACATCTGCATGTAAGGAAAAATTCTCCATCTTAGCTCCTCTCCCCTCTAGCCCCAAAATGCAGTTACAATCTCCGAGTTTGCCTTACAGTAAGAGAAGGTAAAAAGTAACAGGATGCTGCTCACCCCTCCATCAGATCCTCCCAAGGACAGTCCCCTCTCTGCTATTCTGCAGGCAAAACAATAACCTCAGGTGAGAACTGATTTGTTTTTAATGCCATTATATACAATATACAGCTCTGCAGTAAACGTTAGTTGATGCATCACATATAACCTAACTGAGTGGAAAGGAGAAGCTGCCATTTATTTGAAACCCTTTAAATCGTGCAGTCTGCCATGAAAATAAAGCATCTATATTGCAGAACACTTCTGAGCTAGTAGTCCTTTTTTATAAATCCCCAAAGCACACCCCAAAAAGTTGGTTTCCAAATAGATCCTGACCAAAAAAAGATAAAACATGAAAAAAAAAAATCAGATTTTGATTCTAAAGGGCAAAACACAGAGGTGCTGTATCCAAAACAGGAGCCCAGAATCTGGAACGACCAAAGCACCAGCCTGACTAGTGAACAAAGCACTGCACCAGCTGCACATCGGCTTAGGGACTGGGAGCATCAGGAGCATTACAGCGATATTTCCCACTTAGAGGACTGTCAGGTGCAAACAGCACTCAGATGCTGATCGCTCTCCAAACTGTGTAATTTGACAGTCTCCTACTTTTTGATTAAAACCCACCACTTTGTATTCATAAAGGATGCCACACGGTCAGCACCAGCTCAGACTATCCAGAAAGAGACTGGGCTAAGAGAAGGTTTTGTCGTTTTTAAAAGACCAGGTGGAACAGAAGGCCAAGTGAAAAAACCTTAAAAACCTATTTAATTCAGAGAATATTATCTTCCTTTTGGTCGTGAATTACTCTACAGCCCCCATGCCCCACACTGAACTAGGCAGATTCTGTACAAAAGAGAAAAGCCTCAATTAAAGCAAAAATGTAAAATGGCTCTAGAAAATAAGGTCAATGCTTTAGACTGTTTAACTCCTCCTCCTTAGTCCTTCAGCTAATAAGCTTCGTGCCACAGGCATGCCTTAAACACTGGCGCACCACCAGCACGGCCCTGCTTCCTCCACAATCCAAACTAAAATCCTTCCAAAGGGGAAAAGAAAGAAAAAAAAAATTTACCTACGGATTCTTTCCGCTTCCTCCCTGGTGATTACTGCGTCGGTTACCCCTCTTCCACACTTCCGAGGAGTGCACCCTGCATCACAACAAGGACAAGAAAAAGAAATAAGATAATCTTTCGAAAGAGGTTCAGAACAAACCTCTATTAACATCCCCCTGCTCCCCTCTCATGATTCACAACATTCACCAGGGTTATTGCCACTCTCGGAATACTTTAGATCATGCAAACGAAAAAGAACGTTACATCCCCAATTTCAATAGGTTTTGCACCGCCATCATCAGGGAGAGGAGACAAACTAGGCAACGGCCCCGCCGCTTCTGCGCAGGCTCAGCTCCCGCCGCGGCTGGCTTGGCGCAGTCCTCGAGCGCAGAAGCGGCACGGCCAGCCCACACCCGCTGAATTACACCACCTAAGCTGACAAAAGTTATTTGCTGTTAAAATGCCTATGTCCAAAACGCACTTTGACACAGTAGGGACGATGCAAAAGGAATGAACCTCAAACCCAATATACTGCAGGAATACAAACAGCATACTGGAGATACTGCTCTCTGGCATGCACGACCCAGAGCCTCCGGCCTTTAGGTTAAGCAAAACACAGAGCAATGCTGTGCCTTTAAAAATAAACCGGTTTTCCTATGGACCTGAAAAAAATTCCTGGAATCGTTTAATTAAAAAAACAAAAAAAAAAAGTCTGCTACAAATTTGTTGCTCAAGTTTGTTACAATAATCCCAATACGGGATTAAAATCGACTTACTGATGTCGGTTTGCAAATCTACTGCTTAGAGCTGTTTGGTGAGGCTATACCAGAGACACACGTATCTCTCTCCAGCTATATGGAGATATAGAAACATACATATCCAGTGATTTTCCCTCCTTGTCAAGTGCAGCAGTAAAAATAAAAATTCCTGATTATATAACCATTCTCCGGAAAGGCGATGATCTTGGATGATTTGATCTTACATACTCCTTTTTAGCCTTCAGACAGGCAGGGCAAGAACACGAGAGCGCTCAGCCCCCGGCAGCGCCACGCGGATCCTTCCCTCTCAGGCTGACAGCTCACACTCGGCCAGGATCTCTAGCAACTGAAACCACTTGCTATCACGTATCTACATATACAAAGGGTTTTCCTTTCCAGTCCTCACGAGCATTCAAATCATAGACTGAGATCCAACACGCACCGCGGGTTTTGTTGTGCTTTATACCAAATAAACACAAAGGTCTGTCCCTAAACCAAAGAATCGCAACAGGAAATAAAAATTAACTATCCCGGAGAAAAAGATAGCCGCAGAAGAGCTATTTGGATGCAGACAACAAGGGACACGCCACTGCAGCATCACCACGCCGTACAAGAGATCCCGATTCAGGCTCTGAAGAGCACCTTGCTCTGCAGCTGGTCACAGTAGAAGTCACACAACAAATCTGGAAAAGGAGCAAGTTATGAAACCGCTCGTTCGAAATCGGAGTAACCAGCTTGTGAAACGAGCACCCATTCTTTTTGCTCCCATCCGTCTGCAAGCGTCATCCTGGCACCAGGCTAAGACAAAAGGAAAGAGAAAGCAGATGAAAAGAAAACACGGAGAAATACCAAGAATCTAGTGACATTTACAACGACATCGGTCCAGAGGAGCATGGCCATTGCCCAGCAAAGCACCAAGAGGGTATTACAGTTAACGCTGATCTCTATAATTTGTACTTAATCTGCGTCACCGAGTCAAGCGCTGATCTGTCACTAATGCTCTGACAGTTGAAAAACTCTTGGGGTAACAGGAAGGAGAGAAAACGCCTTGCACGCAGGAGTGGAATCACAGCTTGACAGAAGAAAGATGGGCAGGGGGGAGATAAGACTTCAAGCCACGAAGAAGATACTACACGGGTTCCTGCACAGACACACAGTCCTTGAATAGTACACCAATACGCCTTAGCTTACACTGCTATTTCACATATAAACACACAAGGAGCTTTATCCAACTTATGTTTCTGTAGTCAGCCATAAATCATTCAGTTTATTAACAGATGCCTGTAAGCAGCTGCTCAGAAACACTGTATTTGCCCACTGGAAGTTACTGGCAAAGCAACAGTAACGTAAGAAAACAGTGAATTAGAATTTCAGAACAATGTTCTTACCATACCGTCAGCATAATAAAAGCAGTATAAACAAATCCACGCAGAAGAGCGCTAATAGCATTCTGTATGTGGTGTCTACACAAACGTATCTTGAAAGGTAGCTTTTTATACAAGATGTTGCACAGAAGTGATTTGGCCAAAAGCACGCAGCTTTGACATGTATCCACAAAACAAAACAAAACAAAAATTAAAAACTCTTAAAGTCCATTTCTGAGAAATTCAGCATTTAATATTAAAAACTTATGGAAAAAAGCCAGCAGCAAGAGTTCCACATGAAGAGCATATGAAAGCTCTTATGGAATTAGAAGTCCAGTCCAGAGCAGTCTTTAGGCAACAACAGCAAATAACATCAATTTTGAGCCACCACTAACGTCAGGATGTGGCATTTGGCACTGTGCTGCTGAAAATCCACGCATAGATGTAAAGAGATAGAAACGTTTGAGTGAATGTGCTTTCTGACACCTGCCAATACACTTACTATCGCTGACCCGAGTTGGCCTTGGAGGATTATTTGCTCATCAGAACGCAAGACAAGGGGCAAAGCACTCCTGAAAAATCAATCAATTCACCCATGCAAGTCAAGAGCATCGGTCTGCTCTGACCAAAAGCAGATAATTAAAACAACGACCACAAAGTGATAGAAAGAGGAGTTTGTCACAGTGCGAGTGCTTTGTAGGAATCCACGCTCTGTCGTAATGGACATGCTCCGGCTACCTCTCTGGGCGCGCTGCAAAGCCCTCCCATTACAGCAGCGTTTCAGGGAAGGGAGAAGCAGTGAGAAACAGGATGCTGCTCGGTGAGTGGGCTGAATACTGACAACATCACACCAACCTGTATACGCCGTTTCCTTGCTTGGGGAAAAAAAAAAGGAAGCTACTCAGTGACTTCAATGTAAACACGTATCAAAGGCACCCACACCCAACGGGCTGTCCAGGCGCACACAAGCACCCAGAGCACTTCCCTCCCTTGCCCACATACACCTGTGTGCGCGCACATGCAGCCCTCTGTTCGAGCTCTCCATCAGGCAAGGCATCTTCAGACCTCAGTTGTTCCCGCACCAAAAATCAATCACCCTCATGGGTCAGTCACCATGACGACACGTAGTCAATAACTCGTCCCTGAGAACTCTGAAAAGAGATTTTTTTTTTCCTTCTAAGCCACCAGAGTAAAAAGGTAGCGAGCAGACAAACACCAGGAAAGACCACCTGAGTGGATTAAAACTCAAAAAATTCAATGTTTTCTGACTACCCAGCAACAATTCACTGAGGTCGGCTGAAGGTTCAAGTGCCAGGGAGCATGTACGAAGTTACTGGAAGATGACCTGGGAAATTAGCAGCCTAAAATAATGCTGGAGGTTATGCTCTTAAGCGTTCAGAATGCAATGGCAGCACAGAATCCGGCACCGTAACGGCAAGGAACCAGAACCGCTGTTCCCCCAGCTCAGTTTCCTCATGACCCTGTGAATTACAGGAGAGAAGAGCGGAACGGAAACAAACTATTCGTCAGCAACTGTAATGCCTTGAAATGAAAAAAATAAAGATTGGAAAAATTCAGCCAGCAACCCGAAGGTGCTTTGCATGCTACAAGATAGCATTTTGCAATACAGTATCAGCCTCAAAGCTGCAGAATTCAGATCCACCCAAAAAACATACACACACAAAAAAAAAAATCAAAAAAAAAAAACCAAAAAAACCACAAGGGCTTTGTAGGGGGGGAGGTTGTTTTGAGTTACAGATTTGGAAGTGGGAGAGGGATGAGAAGGAGAGCTTCTGTGCCATGTTTCAGGCATACGGAAATTTTTTTTCCTGTAACCAGAAAGGCTAGACAGAGTTTTTGTGAACATCCTGGCATTTTTAAATCACTTAATACCAGGAACTGTCAATTTTGCAAATCAAACACTGCAGATCATGCAACAAAAATGCAAGGAGCAGAAATGCTGTATCCATTCGGAGCCCAACAACCTAGCAGTCCTGAATAGCAACAAGTAGTAGCCAGCAAACACTGCAAACTACTTTGTCTGCCCTAATATAAAAAGACACCCATTTCATGTTACTGTGTCTGGAAGGGCTCCAATACATGTGCAGCAGTGGCAGATTAAAATCAGTTCCTTAATTTTGAATGTCAGGCTGAAGAGCATCTCAGAAGCTGACTGACAAGGATCAGCCATCCCTGCCTGCAGGCTAGCAAACGTGGGACAGACAGCTGAGGCAGTAACAGCCTCCATCACCCAATTTTAAACTCACAGCTGCATGTACAGAAGCAGCCAGAAGGAATTAATTTTGATCACTGACCATACGTTGAGTTAGTCTGGCTAGATATCAAGTTAGTAATCATAAGATCTACTCCAAGATTTGCAGAACAATTGTCATTAATCATAAATCACACAACGTATAATACACGTTGTACCTAAAGTTCTGTTGTGCCAGGAATAAAGATGTCAACAACTTTATTAAGCACAAGTTTGGAAACCTGCAGGGTAAAATTTGACTGTCCTGTTATAAATCAGGATTAAAAAAGGCTGAGGTAACAAACCGACAGAAAAGTGAGATTTTAAGGACTCCAGGAGAAAGCTGAACACAGAAAAGCACTGAAACTCCTTTGACTGATAGAGACAAAAAAGGGGAAACGACTTTCCTTCTGCCATTGAAAAAGTCTCTTTAATGCTTGAAAGACAAAGAAAATTGTCTTTGAGATACCGGAAAGCTGATGTGCAAGGAGAGAGTAAGTGGAGACAAGTGAATCCAAAGGAGACCTTCAATACTCTAGGACAAACCCATCTGAATACAGAGGGGGTTTTATATGACCTTCTGAAAAAGGAAAATAGCAAAGACTTCTGATTACAAAAGAGCTTTGTACTGTGCTTTTCCAGCAGCAAGCAACAGCAGAGGACTTTCCCTTTTGGGAAAGTTGGTACTGAAGAGTCAAAGTTTAGCAAAACTATAGCTAAACTATAGCAAAACTATACAGCAACTACAAAGGACAATCGCTGCATGACTAGGATCTTTGACAAAGAACTGGCAAAGACAATGCTCAAAGCAGGAGGTGTTCTGAAGGCAATAGCAGAGAGTTTTTCAAGCTGAGAAGAAAGCAAGGAAGAGATAGTCCAGCATAAAGTCAGTCAGGTACCAACATTAAGATGCAAACACTGGATCAAAGCTGAGGAATGATCAGAACAGCGAGTCCGCTGATTTGAAAACAATTGTAGCATTAAGAAACGTGTCACCTTTGTCTAAAGGACATTGTAGCTGGGACCACTGAACTGTTAAGAAAATACTCAGAGAAGAGGCACCCACTAGAAATTCAGTCTAGCATTACAAAGTATCCAGTAGCTTTCTCAAATTTGTGCCTAGTGAATACAAAACCGTTCACATATCTAACAAGCTACTGAGCTTTGGGTCCGAGAGCTATATTTTTTCTGACAAGGTAAGAGGTGTATACCAAAAGAGGCAACAACACAGGCACTCCCTACAGCTACCCTTCCTATTCAGCATACAAAGAACAGAACGTAACAACAGGACACAGGCCCAGGTGCCTAGATTTCAGCTTTGTCTCCTACTTAAAGAGGTGCTTGCTCAAGCACCAGACGTTGCAGGGACTGGGATGATTCTCAAGAGAGAAAAGCCCCATCGCGATGCTCAATGACTGCAAACGGCAAGACAAGAAGACAAAGATGGTTTGGGTGACATTCTCACAACAGCAGCAGCAGTCTAGGTGCTGGACCTTTTCCTCCACTGCTCATACACTTCTCTGCATTCCATATCCATTGATCTGGTCTCTGGAAAACCATTCTAAAGTTGTCTCCTGGACAGCGATCACGGATGCTTCGTACCCTGACGCAGAAAACGTCAGCATACACAAGAGGCTAGGGACAAGTTTCATCAGACAAGCTAGAAGCCACAGCGGTTTTAAGGAGTAAACCATGTCTCAAGACAGTCAGAAATAGCCAAGATTTGGCTGCAGGATTTAGAACGCAGACCAGACTGTTCACAGAACACTGTGCCTTCTTCTGCAAACATACTACGCCGAGCGCTTGGCCTCTGACAAATAACGCCTTACATTTCTGTACGAGACGTTTACTGGCAGACACTGCTATGAAAATTAACTCACTGCTGTGTGACACCAACTACTGTATCCATTGAAGCAAACTAGAAGCTCAGCTGGATCAGTTCAGTTTGAAGCAGGGACGAGTGCATAAATAAAAAGCTCATCCTAGCTACAAGAACTTTGCGCTTGAGCATCAGACACCGAGTGATGACGGAAGCGTGCCGCCTCCTGACAGAGAGCCAGCAGCTGTGCGTATCAAGACAGAGTAAAGATAGAAAACGAAAAGCTGTTCAGTGATAGACGGCGATTTCCAACAAAGCGACGAGAGCTCCAGAAATGAATCCAGTTTGGCAGAGAACTGTAATCCACGTTTTATCGCCTCACAAAGCTATCAGCAACCCACATGTGGAGCAAGGAGCAGGGCAGCCACAGGACAGTGAGGAAAGCTTAGCCAGGTCACCACCACCCTCTTGCGGACACAGAGCAAAAAACAAGAAAAAAAAATGCAAAGTTCAAAGTTCATTATCACAGTATGGATCCAATTAACTGCTTAACAGAACAGTTGTTTATACGCGTCTAATATCACAGATCTCTTTCTGAAAGCACAACGCAGGGCAACACACGTAAAAACATCGGCTAAAAAGCAACACCAAGTATGCAATAAATTCGGAGATGGAACAGGCAAACATAATTAGAAAATGAGGATACAAACTACTGCAAGATGACTCCACTTTGCCCCTCCATTATGTTCTTGGGTTTGGAGCCAGTCATGTCAATCATTCTCACACAAAGCTAAGACTGAAGATAGCGTTTGCAGAGCGTGCTCTCCGTCACATTACAACACTAGAGAATGTGTTCATTCCTCCTCCCAAGCAGAGGTGTACTTGAAGTTCTTTGCTTCCTCACGATGAAGAGACTAGCCGATGGAGTTACCAAGACCAAAAGTAAGTTAAATCTCAGCCTGGGAAATTCCTCTAACAAACCAGAGGAGGGAAAAAGAAGGTTAAGCTGTTTTTTGGATTCTTTTGGCAAGCCAAAACGCTGGTAGCAGAATGCAGACAGTTTCAGCCCTAGTCCAGTCGTAACTACTAAACCCGCAGCGACAAGAGCTGCACAAATTTCTCTGCCCTGTGGAACTGTGGAAGTAAAATCAGTTTCTCCTTAGGGTAACTATGAAAAGTTATAACAGAACATGTGCTTTCATGGGTTCAGAGTCAAAAAGTCTCCAAACTAAGAAAGCTCTCCTGCTGGTAGTTTGTGGACAGCAGTTTGCTTGTCCTCAATAACATTTGGGATGAATCCTCCAAAATCCTATCACACATCCCACCCAGAGCAGACGCTATAATAGCAGCACTGAGAAAAACTATCTGAACAACAGACTCTGTGTTACCTCCCCTTCTGTGTCACAAACTATTTGACCAACAGCACCCAGGACAGCCACCTGAAGGGGGAAGTGAAAATTACCTCCATATCTTTGGGACACCACATCCAGGCTGCAATTTGATGAACGCTTCCTACCAAAATTAGCCTTGAAACAAAGTCATTCTTCCCCCGTGCCCAGCAACTTGCTCCAGCCTCCGTACTACCGCCAGCTTTCTATCAGTAAGCGTTTTGGCAGCTGCAAGAATGAACCGGACAACGGATTTGGCTGAAAACTCCCTCAGAAAAGAAAAAACAAATTTCAGATGAAATAATTCACCAATCAAGTTGAATGCACAGCTGGATAGACAGGCAAACTGGCAAAAAGAAAGAAACTGCTGCTTTCTGGCAGCAGTACCAGCTTAAAGCGTTCATCAAGACACATTTTGCAAGTCCAAGGGAGAAAAAGAAAGAAAAAAAAAACACACACACGCAAAACAGCATAGCTTGTCCTCAGAACACAAATTAGACTCCCATTGCTCGTGACTGCAGAAAGAAACCTTGCGCCTCTCTAGAAAATCCAACACCAAGACTCCAGAGGAAAAAAACGCCAAAGGAGACAAATACAGAAAACACCATCAGCTAGAAGAGGCAAAGATGGAAAAGATGAGCTTATTGCAGGCAGCATCAAAAGCTATCTTCGCAACCAGTGACAACATCAACAGGAAAACAGCTTGTTTGCTTGTTTTTTTAAACTGAAACTCACACATCTCAAAACACGCGTACTGGAAGCTGGCCTTTGTGCAATCACCGCATGCTTGGCAGCACAGACAACATCCTAAATCAGTTGCACTCCATACTCCGTATGGTATTTGCAGGTAACCAACTGCCCCACAACTCCATTACAGGAACCAGCAGAGCATGAAAAGAAGACAGAAACAGATTCGGCAAAAGGTTTATTTCACACTGCCTAAAGCAAGCAGCTTCAGAAAACAATTACAGAGGAGCGGCAGGGAAACCTCTCCCAGAAACAACAGCTGCTGGGCTGGCCCAGGACACCTGAACCTCTGGGGATCCAAGCACCGAGCCCAGCAGCCAGGCGTCTGGACGCTCGTATCCAAATACCTTCGTATCTTTTGTGGCTGTCGTAGTCGGCGGAGCAGGGGACCTCGGTGAACCTGCCCTGCAGGTGCTCCTTGTGACGGGCCAGCACCTCCGTGACTCCCTC